TGGATCGTTGATACTATGAATGTCGCTTGGGTAGTGTTGAAGCACTCTGTGGCCAGGCTTGCAGAGTTAGTCTTCGACGGAGCCCATATTGTTGCTGTGTGCAGCTGAGGAATCAGAAGCTGGCTGGCCTGTTCCCTAAGACCTGTCTTGTCGAGATCTGACACAGCCTGGGCCTGGTTCATCAGATGAACGCCGAGCTGAACTGCACTGCCTGGTCAGGTCCATGCAGTGGGGGGAGCAGACGCATGTGGACGCTTATAACGACTGAATGGTGAGCAGACGGTCGCGCATCGCGGATGGGTTTGTATCTAGAAAGTTGATCTAACGGCATCGGAGCGGGAAACAAACAACCCACCCGTTGGTGTATGCTGTTTGCGTCGGGTCGATGAGGGCAGCGCGCCGGCAGGCTAGATAGCCGTTGATGTTTGTCCATGCGGATCAGCAAATGGTGTGGCAAAATTCCCGCGTTTTGTTGGGGACAGCATGCTTTTGGTTGTCACGCGTTGTCTTTTAGAATTGCCAGACCACATGCCTGTCAATTCAGACTGCAGGCAAGTAGGTCCTGCCACGAATCCGGAGAAGGTTCGGCATGCCGCGAGAGAGAAGGGATCGCATGGTATACGTGCGGGCCGACGGAAGCGCCCGGCACGGCGGGTAAGCCGGAGGGAAGCCAGGCCATTCTATGTACTATCCAGCATTCCTCTGATCCTAAGAGAACATGTAAGCATTGCATCTGAAGAGCTCAGGGCGAGACTAGCAGAAGAGATTGGCAATTCTCCGACGCCCGAGACCATAGCCCTGGACGGTAAGCCTGATGACGTGATTATGAACCTGGGTCATTGTTTTCGTGAAATTTGTGTACGGAAATACGAATAACAGAGTTCCTCAATGAAGTCATCGGGGCAGGCAGATGTCTGAATTAAGAATCGTCCTACAGCCGCGCTGGACCCGGCCATGAATCACAGGCTCCAATACACGGCTGTGTGTTCCGTTTGCTCTCTTTATTAGTACTCTCTGTATAACATGCGGTGTATACGCGTACACTGGTGTATGTCACAGGTGCTGTGTGCACACGAGATGTGAAAGAGTTCTGTCGTCGCGGTGTAGCGATTGATTTGTCAGCTTGTCGAGCTGCCTAACGAATATCTGATCTTCGTAGTTGAATATGCGATGCTGTTGAGAGGTGAATCGGTCGGGGCTTGCACGCACGACTAACCCAGGCTTATCGTTGTTGGTGTGAACGATCGGAGGGCATAGAAGAAGCGAGGCAGAGTGCGGCAGCTAGAAGACTGACGGAGGAGGATGCTGAGCGAACCAGAGCCTCTAAGTCTGTGACCCCTTGTTTGGTGGACGAGCTCTCAGTTTGAGACGAGAGGCGCTGCGTTCCGACGGTGCGTATTTCCAGACATCGGTCAGTATCATTAGACGAAACAATTTTTGTTACCACAATCAATTTATATCGAGAGCCCTTGATTCGTAATATCACACGCAGCTACCCGGTATACAGACTGTGGGCCTCCTACGCTTAGTTTGGTGATATTTCTGCTACTCGTTCTCTCAGTCTATGTCATCTCTTAACCTACATGATTTCACAAGATTTATCATGGGAAATACTGGCATTTCATCTGTCCGAGAGGTTACGTCTTAAGTGGAGCAAACCCTGCATTAATTACTAGCAATCGTATCTATGAAGGCAACGTTTCACTATACAGAGTGGGTGCGATCAGGGGGGGGGGGCAGTAAGTAATGACTTAGAATTCCCAAAGAAAGTGTAGATAACGCTTGTGGGCCGAAACTCGAATGCGTCATACAAACCGCTCAGGCCAATACCTAAGCAATCGCATCTACCGCGGAGACGCTTGGAGCCGTACGCTGTCGCCGTCTCACTGCGTTGCCAGACAGTTCCAGAAGTCGGCAGCGCCCATGGGTTGCGGAGCGCGTTTCCAGGCGCCCCCCATGGTAATGCGAGCGCGTTTTCCACGGCAGCCGTGGGATGCGCCGTGGTGTGGACGGTGTTGTCTATCGCCGCCCGCCTGGTTTGGCAGGATCGCATCGCCTCGGAGGCGATGCACGTTCAGGCGTGATGTCGATAACGCCGGGGGCGCGAGTCGACGAGATGAACGCTCGTGGCGGACGCAGTATTGCCTACGACGCACCGTCTCATACAAGGACCACCGCGCAGACAGGCAGCAGCAAGAGCATCAGGCAAGGTGACAGGAAGTCTACCAGGTACGCTGCGAAGATGACGTGCCCTACAGGTACGCTTCGCGCAGAGAATGAGCGGCAGTGCATAGCGCAGGTAACGACTGCTAGCAACAAGAGATGAGGCGTGCCATAACAGGGGTACCTGCAAGAGACGTGCCTATACAGTGTACGCTGGCAGAGATGAGCCGTGGCGAGTACCAGGGTCCCTGGGCAGCCACGATGCCAGCGTCGCCAAGTAGCAGGTAGCTGGGCAAGGGAGATGCAGGCGTGGCCATAGCAGGTACGCTGCTAGAGATGAGACCGTGGGGATGAGCGTGCCATACAGGTACGCTGGCAGAGATGAGCGTGCCATACAGGTACGCTGGCAGAGATGAGCGTGCCATACAGGTACGCTGGCAGAGATGAGCGTGCCATACAGGTAAGCGGACAGATGATCATACCCTACAAGTAAGTTGGCAAACGAATGTGCCATACAGGTAAGCTGGCAGATGAGCATACGCTTCAGGTACCTTACAGGATTGATGTCTCTCACACTCGGGCGTCGCCTAGTCGGCTGTAGGTAACACGCTTACAGATAAACATCAATATCATCATCCTCGCTCACGAGTAGACACTCGTAGCTAATCTACACCTGGGCAGCCAGGCAACATGGTGACCCGGTCCCTCACGTAACGGCGAAACTCTAAAGATACTCACTTCCTACAATCATTTCGTCGCGCGGAGCGATCGCGTCATTCGCCGAGGCCGTCGTCGTCGGCGTGCGATTTCATTGGTGGTTGTTCGGCTGTGTTTGCAGTGCCGCACCCGCCCGGCTTCGGCATGTCCCACCAGGAGGCCGTCGTCGCTCTCATCAGACGCAGCGCCGCCGTACAACCAGAGGGCGCCACCGTCAAACCAGTGGGCGCCACCGTCCAACCAGAGGGCGCCACCGTCCAACCAGAGGGTGCCACCATACAACCAGAGGGCGCCGCTGCCACCTCCGTAGTTCCAAACCCGTTGGCAGTCGCGACCGAATCGTCGAGGACGGAACCGGCGGCGCCCGTCGCCGCGGCGACCGCACCTTCTAAGTCATCGTCGCAGTCCGACTCGAGTTCGGCGGCGAGCGCACGCGTGGCTGGCTCCCTTCCTGCGCCGTGCGTCGACCTCTACCCCTCCTGGACCAGCAAGCCTCTCTCTGCGGGAGGAGAGCCGCGCGGCAGCGAGGCGGCCGCAGCGGACCCGGCGGCTGCGGCGGACCCTGCGACCGCGCTCGAAGGAGGCGCGGGCGACGCTGGCGTCGCGCCAGACGACGACCTGTTAACGAGTCGCGATCAGCGTTGCCTCGACGACATGCTGGAGCGGTTTGAGACGCAGGATCTGTCTTGTGAGGTAGAGGATGGAGATGCTGGGAAGGACGACAGTGGAAACACCAGCAGCCTGAGCATGGAGGAAGCTTACCAGAGGTATCCATCCCTTAAGTAGCTCCATCTCGCGCAATCTGCTCGCGAGATCCAATACTTAGTTAAGTGTGATCAAAATTTACCTATTTTGTTTGGCGTAAAATCAACACGCAGCTCAAGCCTATCAGTATTCTGGTAAGGTGTTCTAAAAACAATGCTTAGTAACAACGTGCTGCTAGGTCGACATTTAGGCATGCACAGCGTGCTACTTGGGTTAGGTTGACCACATGGTTATCATACTGAGGTGCATAGGTTGACTAAGATTTTGAGAACGATTAATGGAAGCCATGGTTGAGCCCACCCTGGAGTGGGTTCTACTGATGTGGATTTAAACCCTTGAGTCCAGTATAAAATAAAAAAAACCGAGAAGAAGAGAAGAAGATGGTTGTTGATGCAGGTGTGTGCTCCCCTGTCTTAACCGTGGTTTCTGATGTGAGTTTCTACTCACCTGTGGTAACCATGGTTGCTGATGTGGTAACCATGGTTGCTGATGTGGGTTTCTACTCACCTGTGGTAACCATGGTTGCTGATGTGAGGTTCTACTCACCTGTGGTAACCATGGTTGCTGATGTGGGTTTCTACTCACCTGTGGTAACCATGGTTGCTGATGTGAGGTTCTACTCACCTGTGGTAACTGCGGTTTCTGTTTCAGGTATATGCTCACTTGCTCATCAGTAGAAGCGGACATGGGTGTGGGAGCTGAGGACAGCAAGCAGCAGGCAAGGGAAGAGGTAGAGAAGCAACAAGAAGACGACACTCTCCTCAAGTTCCTCGATCGCCTAAAGCAGCACAATGTCACCAGTAGCTTCACGGGGGAGGAGGTCGCACGCAAGAAAGGCACGAGGACGCACAGTGAAGCAAGCAGCAGCGATATATGCCAAGCATCTTCACTCAGCAGCAGTGGTGCAGCTCCTAGTAGTGCTACCTACATCAACAGCGGTGCCACCTACAGCAACAGCAGCGCCGCCTACAGCAACAATGGTGCTTCCTACAATAACAGCAGTGCCAACAACAGCAATAGTAGTGCTGGGCTTGGCAGTCAGGCCTCGCTAAATACAGATGTTAGCCAGGGCACCGACGAGTCAAACAACATTCTCAGTCTCCTGAGCAAGATACAGAGTTTGGTGAAGCAGCCGCAGCACGAAGGAGCCGGAGGGGGAAGCTCCGAAATTACCGAGCAGGAGCTGGAGCGCCTTGTTAATGTGCTGGCCGAGAAGGGAGTCATCAGTGACGCAAACTCCGTCCCGCAGCAGCAGCAGCAGCAGCAGCAGCAGCAGCAGCAGCAGCAGCGAGAATTGTTAGCGCCACCGTCGTCCCGCACCACTGACCCCAAGGTGAACATGGTATCTCCCATCAGGCAGAGCGCCGTGCCGCTGGCGGCGCCCCCTGCCAGCAGCCAGGGCGACTGGACGCGCGGTCAGTGGCAGGCGCAGCAGCCGGCTGCATCGCAGTCGTACAGCTACGCTCACGTGCCGACCTACCACCAGAACACGCAGTCGGGCATTGGACGCGGTTACCACCAGCCAGGCAATGCGTATAACCAACCAATGCAGTATCCGGGCATGTACCTGCAGCCAGCGGTGCACCAGCTAGGCATGCAGCAGCATCAGCACCAGCAGCAGCAGCAGCAGCAGCAGCAGCAGCAGCAGCAGCAGCAGCAGCAGCAGCAGCAGCAGCAGCAAACGATGCAGTATGTATCGATGCAACAGCCGAGCTTGCACCCTGCAGGCATGCAACAAGTGAGGATGCAACAGGCAATGATGGCACCGACTGAGGCCTATCGACTGGGGAACCCATTCAGTCAGCCCATGCCTGCGTATGCGCCTGCCCCAATGTACGTACCTCCGTACGAGCAGCAGCCGCAGCCACCAGCTTCGTCCACTTATTGGAGCACGAAGGATTAACCCATGCGCATAATCGACTTGACTACCTGATGTCTATAACCCATGCTGTCCTGTTAATCTATATGCGAGAAGTATACCTCCTGTTTACGTTCAAAGTCGTTAGCTTTAGTTGCTAGTAATTTTAGCTGTGATTAGCAGATTGGAGGATTTGATCAGTGTGGCAACACTGTTTGTCAGGAATTGCAGAGCTAGCAGAAGTCGGCTTGGGTAGGCTCACAGTGAACCGCTGTTGTCGTGTGGTAGAGCAAATCTTATATGCTTACCAGCAGCGATGTGGTGTTTCGACTGGTATCTGATTACATTACTCAATCGCGCGTGATTTTACATGTTAAATTTTGCTTTTGTATTTTGCTTGTGCGTGCGTGTGTGCGTTTGTGAGCGTGTGAGTGTGCGTGCGTGCGTGCGTGAGTGTGTGAGTGTGTGTGCATATGGGCGTGCGTGCGTGTATGCGTGCGTGTGTGCGTTTGTGAGCGTGTGAGTGTGCGTGCGTGCGTGCGTGAGTGTGTGTGCATATGGGCGTGCGTGCGTGTATGCGTTTGTGTGTGCGTTTGTGAGCGTGTATGTGTGCGTGCGTGCGTGCGTGAGTGTGTGTGCATATGGGCGTGCGTGCGTGTATGCGTTTGTGTGTGCGTTTGTGAGCGTGTATGTGTGCGTTTGTGAGCGGGTGTGTGTACGTGCGTGTGTACGTGCGTGCGTGCGTGCGTGCGTGCGTGCGTGCGTGCGTGCGTGCGTGCGTGCGTGCGTG